TATTGTAAAGAGCTGCGACAATAAATGGGAGACCAGGTAATGCCATGATGTTTCAAAGAATTCCGAACAAAAATGCATCCTGACTAATAAATATCACAGGTCAGCATTTTTGTTTGGAATTCTATGAACATCATGGCATTACCTGGTCTCCATTTATTGTCGCAGCTCTTTTAAAATACAGCGAACACCATGATTGTAAACTATGCTTTCACTATCTAGTAATTGCTGACTCTATTATCCAACTCTGAACGAACTCTCTGCTCCTCTCCACGGCGCGTCTCAGGTGCTGCGGTTATCACTAGCAGTGGTTCGCCTTCTGAGACTATAGTTCCCAATATGCGGTTAAATGATGGCTGTGTCTCATATGACCTTGTTATTTGTACACTCTGATTTATACAAATCACAACATAAATAGGAAAATGTTTGCGTTATTTTGTTACTTATTGGGATTAGTATGCTAGCTGGAGCCATTTACATCCAGTCTTTGTGCTAAGCTATAGGCTAGCGGTGGGTGTGTCAGACAGAGTTACAGCACGCATGGAGATGAAAAAGGTATGTAAGGATTTTCTAACTCTGGGGATACGGTGAAAAAGCTAAGTCCCAAAAAGTCGGAGTGTTCCTTTGAATATAGCAACAGTAGAACATGATAATAGACTTCACGCCATTAGACTATCTAAAGTTAACACTCGCTGGGTGTTGTGGCCACATTACTTGCATAGAACGTGCATTAACTTTGGATGGTATAATGGCATGTTGTCCAATGTCCATTATCCCTTTGTTGTACCTGTTTTGTCATTTCTGTTCACCAAATCTTTTTAAATAAATAACTGTTAACAATTTTCTTATTGTCTGCAGTTGATTGCAATGTTTTAGAAAAATGGGTGTTTCTTTTAATGATGGCTAATATTAAATGATAGTGATATAGTATTTAAATTGTACAGTGAGAAACTGAATTTACAGTGCTTAACCGTTATCTACTGTTTATAGTACTGTGTTGCATACAATACATAAAAAACAGTGCTTAATGTTTTTTGTATGTAAATTAAATTGAAATTTTCTTCTACAGTAAAACAATCAATGCTGTAAATACAACTAAAATCAAAATATTTCAATGTTTTTGATTTCACAGTGTTTACATAAAATACTGTGAAAAGTACACTACCCTTACTGTAAAACGTATTCACAGTAACTTACTGGCAACGATTAGCCAGTAAGTTACTGTAAAATACAACTAAAATCACAGTATTTAATTGTTTTTGAATTCACAGTATAAACATAAAATACTGTAAATGGAAGTACAGTACCCTTACTGTAAAGAGAATTCACAGTAACTTACTGGCTAATCGTTGCCAGTAAGTTACTGTAAATTTTACAGTAAATTTTTTACAGTGTTCACTCACCAGAGATGAGGTAGCCTGAGGTAATGGCCACATTTAGTTTCACCAGTGTGGCATCTCCCCTGTAATCACAAATTATTAGAGGTTTGAGTGTTCAGACTGTACTGTTTGGACAGAACAATGTTACATAAGAAGTTGTGCCACCACATTTGTAATGGATTAGATCTATAGATCCTCACCAGACTGGGTCTTTCTGGATAGGTTCATCAGAGATATATATGTAGAGGCAGAAAAGTCCCACAATCAGGGCATGCACTGTTGAGACGGCCCTTTGAGGAAAAACAGAGACCTTCCAACTTTAGTCAAACTCGCGATATAAAAACACATGCTTTTAAAAGACCAAATCTGACACCTGGAGTTCCACTCCGTCCTTTGTGTGGGGCTGAGCCTGAGGAAGCCTTTGGAGAGGTGCTGAGACACCCAAGGGCTACCTCTATAGAACAGCCACTGGAAGCCCAGGAAGCTCCATGTTACAACCACCAGCACCTGCAGGCTGAGAGGCTCCATGCCTGCTGAGCCCTAGAGAGAGAGAGAGCGGCAAACGGTCAGCAAAACCCCAGTCCAACACACATTAATCACCCACCTCTTTAACAAAACAAAATGTTTCTTACTCCAGACCGGTTGCGAACATAAAAGCCCCAGTCATCACCTGAGCTGCCGCAGTACCTCTCTCCTGCCAAATCCCCCGGTATAAGCATTTGCATATGTGCTGACACAGACATCAAGAGGTCAGGCGACTCCAACACGTCTCAGATTGCTCCATCCGTGATTTATAGAGCCACGAGTGACTTTAGTGCAGTCTGAAATGCATTCGAGTCGCAGAGATCCTGGTGTCCCAAAAGAAACAGCTGATTGTGTGTTGGGTTTGTGCTGCATACACACAAACTTCTGTCCTGGCTGAGGGGAGCGTGTACATGTTACTCTGCAGTATGGACAGCGATCGAAATGAAACAGCTGGAAATCAATGCGTTTGATCAATGTTGCATTGTTATGGTCTTCTGGGACAGGACCCCTCCCTTGTTTTGTCCTCGTACCCTTGAAAAAGGCATCAAGCTTCAGTGTTTTTTTTTTTGGTAATTGATAGTAGCCTAGGAGGAAGTCAAGCTGGCATGACCTTGTCTCAAATGAACATTTATGCATTTAGGAGATTGTTTTATCCAAAGCAACTTGCAAAAGAAGAATAAAACCAAGGAGCAGACAGTATAATAAACAATGCCAGGTTTATATGAGAAATGAAGGAACAATTAAAGAGGAGAAATGCAGAGAATAATGTGTGTAAGTGCACTGAACACATAGTAAGAGTAAAACCCACCAAAAACAGCTAAATCATCAGGAAACAAAATGCTGTAGGTTATCATGTCTTTCTCATTTTCTGTGTCGGATTCTTCGGTTCAGTCATTCAATCACTTTCTTTTGCACTTCATTTTCTCTAGCAGTCCTTTTTGGTGACTAAAAGATTAAATGAAGTCAACATAATGGATGATCAGACTTACCCTTTCCGTTATGATAGACCCATGTTGAACTGGCCATGGAGCATGTTCATGAGGTGAACACAGCTGGACACGGGGATAAACGCAGGGTTTATGTGACCTTCTCTCTCTCTCTATCCCCCATATTCACTCAGCAAGTGCTTTCTCTTCGATGCAGTTGTCCAGTGTAATTTTATATCTATCCTAAATGAACTTCATTGCATAGAGGAACCACTAGATGGAGCGAGGCATCCAACTTTTTTCTCCTCATGAAAGCAAATGAGCTTCAAGTGTTAGACCAGGATGGTACTATCCGAACAGTGACACTATTGGTTAATGAATGAATGAATGTATTTAGCAAGGGCTGCCCTGTCGTCCTCAATTTCCTGAATCCTCGACCCTAACTTATCAGTGTTAACCTCTAAACAAAATAAACCCAAATCACTCCAATGGTAAAACTGAGTCTTCTTGTATTTAGAGCCATAATGGCAGTTAGTCTTGCCCTGCATCTTCAGGTAATAACTTCCCATCCCCCTCTAAAGCACAGTTGTTGTTGTTGTTGTTGAGTCCCTCTGCATGCTGTGCCTCAGGGATGGAGCAACAAGGCATTCCTGTTTGATGAACCGTTCGCCCCAGAAGAGTTCTGCTCATGGAAAATTAAAGTGATGTTGTGCCCAAATGTGGCCTATACATTTTTACTTTATTAGCTCTGTTTTATAACAGAATAGTGGAAACTTACATAGCAAACTATGCTGTAGATGCTGGCTGAAATTAATACGCAAAACAGGTTTACTGGAGACGGAAAAGGGGGAAATTCTGTTGCTGACTAAACATTCCTTTTCACGTCTTGTTGAGTGAAATATTCATGGGTAACCTGCTGGTTTACAGGAAGACTGCAAACATGCATGATAAAGGAAAATAAACTTGGAATTTAAGTAGTTTAAACATTTTATAAGTAAAGTTTAAGGCAATTTCTGCCAGAAAATAATGCTTTGGTAAATCATAATTCTGACATAAAAGTCAAATTTATGACATAAAAGTGGAAAATAATATACATAACTGCCTTTTTATATCAGAATTATGATTTACCAAAGCATTACTTTATGGCAGAAATTGCCTTAAAATGCTATGTTACTGATCTAAATGGGACAAACTCATAAGCCAAAGTACTGATGTTAAAATGTACACAGGGTTATCCACCGTGGTGGGTCTTGTGTTTTTCCTGTCTAAACAAAGTCTGGGAACAATATCTTACAATGGCAAACACACCTTGTTTTCCGACGGTTTCATCACTATAGTGATGGGCAAAATACGCGCCCACTAGGCCTATATCATTAGAATGCAAGTTTCGTCTTGTCCTTAATTAATGTCTAGGCACAATGGTACTTTCTATTTTGATTATAAATCAGGGGGCTGAAAACCATTTTCTATAATGATATGGCATATTTAATCTTCAGAAGTGATAGACTTCTGATGATGATAAAAAAAGGTAGGCTAATTATAGCATAACACAACATGCCATTGAATGCTGAACCCAAACATTCCAAGGAGGAATTCAAAAAGTGAGAGAAATCTCTTTATATCTGGGATGGCCTTATTGGCATTCACTCTTCATTGGTGGTTCCTGGACAATAGTGTCTCCTGATAGCAGGCTCAGGAAACACATGGTGATGGGGGGCTGAACTCCAGATGTAGGAGTAGGATGTCCTATAACCACAAGCAGTCTAAATATGCAATCAGTAAATAAATGAACAATGAAATCGTCTATTGTTTTGCTCAAAGGTATTTTTAAACACTTTTCTAGCTATTTAGGCCTGCATTATACATAATTGATTTGTATTTTGTAGGCCTATTTATGTTTTAATATTAGACATTTTGAAACAATACATTATAGCCTACTATTATTAATAATAAAAAAGATCACGTAAATATTTAAATATTTATAATCTGCTGGCGTTTTGTAGCGTTCACCGGGCGTGGCGTTCTGGCCTGCGTTTCCAAAAACCATTGTCACCGATTGTCACCAATGGCCTCTCTACGATCAACTTTGCTCAAGATGCTTTCGACAAAATCAGCCCGATATCATCCAGCACGCAAACCTTTTAATTATTATGAGCTAAAAACTTTCACCGTAGCCATTTCACAAGCGCCACAAACCAACCTCTACGTTTCAGCCAATCAGGAAGCGACACTACGTTGCGTCACGCAAACTGATTAATATTCACAACTCAAGCCTTCACCGTAGTAGATTTCGTAAACTCCCTTACGCTCAGCTGCAAGACCTTCTGCTCTTCTTTAATTACTTTGCTGAGCAGAGAGAGAGTTTAGTGCATCCGCTCAGCTGGGACAAATCGGCAGTCATTTTTGACTAGCCTAAACTCACGTATTTGTTGCTTTTTTAAAGTTGTGCAAAAGATCTTTTCTCGAACAAGGGAAGCCAAGTAAGAAATCGTGAGATTTCTGATCATTTCTTTGTGCGACGTGAAATAAAACACAATGACTCAGTTCAACAAGGGCCCTGCATATGGTTTATCAGCTGAAGTGAGAAGTAAGGTAAGGTTTGAATGATTTTACAGTGTACTGGTCAGCTGATTTGCAAATGTTTATAGGTATGAAAGTATAACTGTCTCAAACCAAAACTGCTAAGTTACCTAGAGCCGGTTTTTCAAGCATCAAAGACATTTTCAGAATCAAAAATCTCGTATAATTTACTATTAAGCGTGCTTAGGGTTGCCGAAGGTCGGTTTTGAGAGAAAGCCTTTTGTGTTTCCTTTTCACCTGGTTCCTTTGATTTGTTTGTAAGTTACTTAGATTTTGATTTTAGGGTCGTTACCATCCTTGTTTTCCTACTAATTGACTTTTTTTGTTTTGTTTATAAAAGACAATTCCTCATACTTTTGTACGTAGAAAGAATAAATAGTCAGTGTTTCGTGTCGCACAACCCTACTTTCAATGAATGAAACTTTATACGCACGCGACGTGATTTGCTTTTCTCGACATGTTGAGATGCTGTTTGTCATATTTGCAAGACGTAAACCTCGACATTTTATCCGAATTGATGTTACCGTGTTTTATTCTGTTAGTAAAGCTTGCCTGCTGTAACCTGATGTGTTGATGGGTCATGATCATGGGGTCTTTTGTTAAGTTCTGGGTGGAGCTCCAGTTTGAGAGAAAGAAACGAGGCTGCTGCTGCACGCTCTCTGCAGATAAACGAGACAAACACAAATAAAATCAATAAATTATGACATTATCACTCCAAATTACGCGTCAATGTGTGTATAATAAAGTTTTAGGGAGATTAACGATGTCATTTGTTCTAGTTTGTGTGGAAATGTGTTATGGAAACTTTGGCCGAGCTGATGTGTGTAGAGTGATGCGCGTGCTGGTAGCATCTGATTTCAAAACGGATCTTCTTTCGTTTTTACAGAACTTGATATATAAACATGTTGTGTGTCTTAATTTTACGTACTTTTGTAGTTCAAATTTTTTTTAATGTGTTAAACAGTCCATTTAAGTCTTCAATCTGGTTTGAGTTTTAATATTTTTGGGAGGGGGTGTTCAGGAAAAGGTTAAAGCGTCACTAAATCACACTGTGGCTTTTCTGCTAAATTGCCAAGCTCCTTTTTCTTTTTTCTTTTTCTAAGTGTTACATGTTTTCTTTGCACATAAAAATAACATAAAATGTTATTTGATTTATTTAATCAAAGGTCTGACCTAAACGTATACTTCAGTAGATAAACCATTGCTCCTAACAATTGTTTTTATTATGTCCCATATGCTTATTTTTCTTGCATGCATAATAGTCCTGCACTAATGATGGTCCATCAAGTGCACCTGGGATTAACTTTCTTGCTCAAAGGATCAATACCACATTCACACTCCTGGGACCTGCAGACTTTTTGTTAGCGGCTAAGACCTTTAACCATTCGGCTACAATATTTGTTGTCTTAATTGCTTATCACATTTGAAAATCACACACAGACGACGCACCCCTGTAGTGTCTGTGGTCGTCATTTTAGTCCCTTTCAACAGTATTCCCATCACACACCATGTCTCTCATTAAGCATGTGGGTGTGTGTGTTTAGTCAGAATGAGTGGGAGGGTGGGCAAACAATGTAAACCACAGTGGGGTGATGCTTTCTTGATTCCTGTCATCTGCAGAGGTGTGAGGCCACTTGCCCCCAGCTGACTTTCTTTAGCACTTTGTTGGGATGCCATGCAAATGGAGATAACTTACCGTAGGGAAACTCCATTACTAATAGGAAATCTTTTGACTATGTTCAGACTGCCAGCAAAAATCTTATTTGTTACATACCAAAAAAAACAAAAAAAAAAACCCACATGAAATCTGTTTTTTTTTAAAATCTGATTCAAACCACATTTGGTCGTGGTTTAAAATACAATTCAGATTTTTACAGATGCGTCCCATCTGGATCCTCTGGCTGCTCAATTCGGATTTCAAATGCATGGTCTTTTTACGTGTAACGCAATGATAACGTCAAAAGCGGTGATGGAAACATGCACCGCACAGTGAAGCTGGTCATGACTACAACAGCACGCAACATCACAATATTTACCAGTCTTTTTTTAAATTGTTTTAAAAAAAAGAAAACATTTTAAGGCCCAAATACTTCAAGTGGAATTGGAGGACAAACTGGTTAATTCCTTCGGGCTTAGTCCATGTTTTTACGTCCGTGAGTAAAAACATGAACACGCAGGAAAGCCGTTTTATTGTAGAAAATGAAGTTGTAATTCTAATTGAAAGAGACTCTGACACTTATGTTTAGTACTGTAATGGTGCTTGCAGTAGGCTACTTTGTACAAAGTGGTTTATAAACGTGACTTGGTTTGACTGTATTGCTGAATTGCAGAGCTTATGCAAATGTCTTCAGCAGTAAAAGCAGTATTATTGTGAAATAATTTTCTATTTGAATATATTTTGAAAAATAATGTAGGCTATTCCTGTGATGCAAAGCAGAATTTGCATATAAACCAATTGTTATGCGAACACATCTTGTAGTCTGTATCCACAGATCTTGCTGCCACATTTAGTCTGCTAGACTTTCCAGCAACAGAGTGAATTATTGATCAGCAGAAACAGCTGTGCTTTTCACCAAGTTCTTTCACAGCATTCAATCTTTGTTAAAGCTCTTCCCTCCAGCTAATAACCGCATTGTAGGCAGGATCCTTTCTCTCTGTGTAGATTCCTCAAGTACTTCCTGCTAGTGTTTCTTTTTTATTATGCTCGGTTTTTGACCCCCACATGATTGGTTGTGTCCATGAGACCAGCAGAACTCCCAACATGTTCTCACTGGGCCACATACAGATGTTCTCCCAGTTTTCTCGGTCTTCAGGAAGTTCACTCTCTGCTCTGGGTCGAGGGACTCTGTCTGGAAACATGTATCAATGCTCTCCTACATGTTTTTTCTTCCTTTTCCTTAAATGCTCTAGTATACTCTAGGAACACATGCTCTATTGTGTGGAAAATGGCAAGTGGACAGCTGGATGTGAAGTCTCTACTGATGTCCTAGTTGCAGAGCGGTATAAGAT